CCTTCCAGCGGTCGCCGTACGTGAAAAATATGCCCTGCGTGATGACTTCATTGTGGGTGTATTTGGAGCCTTCTCTCCCGTGGAAATAGTAGAAATCTTTAATTAGTACCAGTTTAATGAATTCCGGGTCTTTAACTATTAAAGTGGGTTTTGTGCCAAAGAATGCACCAACGTAGGGGTCATTTGGAAACAATTTACTCAAATTATGCACCACGTCCAATAAGTTTTCCTTTAGAAGTATGTACCCTGAGTAGTTTCCGAGGAAAGGAACCGGCTCTACGTAGCTCACATTCTTTTTTTGCCAATAATCAAATTTCCTTGTAGATATCCTATAGAGAATGTAAACACATAAACTCAGAATGAATATTATAGTTAATATCATTTTGTAACGTGCGACTGAATCTTTTCGAAGAACTCGTATCGTATTTATACCCATACCCATAAGTTCTGTTTCAAATGAAAATGCATTTTTTTTAATGAAGTAATGTATTATTATTAAAATTCATACCAACATATTTACTAAAGTGTCAGCAAAAATAAAAAATAAAATGTGAGCCGTCACGGGACGCCTGGCAGATGTGAAACATCGACATTATTTTGTAAAAGTAATATGCAGAAAAGAACAGATTGTGATAGGAACTAAATATGTCATAATGATAAAATAAAATATTACGAAAAAAATATTTGTTTTCAAGTAAAACACAGGTTATGTGTACTGTAGTAAACAATACTGTATATACTACGGAGTATACACTCATTCCGATAGAGGCACCCGTCACGTGCGGACGTGCTCATCGACCACTCGATCGCTCGGTCTTTGTTCGCCCGGCTTTTGTTAGCCCGGCCATTGTTCGCGCGGCCTGTGTTCGTGGTACATCTGCCGACTAAGTGCTCTTTCTGGAAGTTTTTATTTGTTTTGTTTCCTTTTGTTGTTTCTGTGTTCGTGGTACATCTGCCGACAAACTGTTTTCCTGGAAGTGTTCAATTGTTCTGTTTCTTTTTGTTATTTCNGTGATGACTTCATTGTGGGTGTATTTGGAGCCTTCTCTCCCGTGGAAATAGTAGAAATCTTTAATTAGTACCAGTTTAATGAATTCCGGGTCTTTAACTATTAAAGTGGGTTTTGTGCCAAAGAATGCACCAACGTAGGGGTCATTTGGAAACAATTTACTCAAATTATGCACCACGTCCAATAAGTTTTCCTTTAGAAGTATGTACCCAGAGTAGTTTCCGAGGAAAGGAGTCGGCTGTACGTAATTCACATTCTTCTTTTGCCAATAATCAAATTTCCTTGTAGATATCCTATAGAGAATGTAAACACATAAACTCAGAATGAATATTATAGTTAATATCATTTTGTAACGTGCGACTGAATCCTTTCGAAGAATTCGTATCGTATTTATACTATACCCATAAGTTCTGTTACAAATGAAAATGCATTTTTTTAATGAAGTAATGTATTATTATTAAAATTTATACCTACATATTTACTAAAGTCTCAGCAAAAATAAAAATGTGAGCCGTCACGGGACGCCTGGCAGATGTGAAACATCGACATTATTTTGTAAAAGTAATATGCAGAAAAGAACAGATTGTGATAGGAACTAAATATGTCATAATTGTAAAATTAAATATTACGAAAAAAATATTTGTTTTCAAGTAAAACACAGGTTATGTGTACTGTAGTAAACAATACTGTATACACTACGGAGTATACACTATAGGTATCCGAGCTCAGTGTAGTGAGAGAGATGGCTTAACGCCGGATCGAGTGGGAGAGAATCGCACAGTCAAATGCGCATGGCGACGCGTCGCCACGGCATGCGTCGGCACGCCGGAAATCGGTTCTACGTGCGGCTATAGATGTTTCACATCAAAATTATTCTATTCGAAACGGCCACCATTGGCTTTTATACAGGCCTTTAATCTGTTTGGCTACGAATCTATGGAACTACGCACTGTTTCCAAGGAAAATTTCGCTACTGCTTGCTCCAAAGATTTTTAAGAGACTCATGTCGTCATTTCGCTTAGAGCAAGTCATGTCCTCTAAAACTAACCATAATTTTAAGTCTAAGTGGTTGAGGTCTGATGACCTAGCCAGACGAGGGCCAGTCTTCAGCTCTTATAGCATCCGGAACATTTGTTTCAAGCCAGGATTCAAGGCGATCGCTGCAATCCTATTTTAATACCCGTTCCGTATTGTAATTTGATAATGAACACGAAAAAATAAAATAAACGAAATGGCGCAAAATCAAAAAAAAAATTCAAGTAATGTTCCAAATTCCAGTTCCAAATTCAGAATAATTCACAATTTGAAACAAAAAATAGTTTTATGTAACAGTATTTATTGTCAGACTAGTTATACCAGCTTTGGCGTGGACGTGTGCATCGTTGTCACGACAATAGTTAGTGTGGCCACTTTCCAAGTTATACAGGACATTCCTTGGAGTTTAATTGAGCACTGATGATAAGCTGGTGAAGCTAGTAGCAGAAATATATTTACTTTAGCAGAGAGCAAATCTACATTCCCGTTTCAAGGACTAATACCACAAAAAAATTTAAACTTTCATTCCTACAGCTGATTAGTAAGTATGCTGTGTAAATATGCTCAAGTAATTATCTATCATCACACATTTGTTTATTTTTCTGAGTGCAGTTGCTTGTAAGTATCTGCATCGGTCTGGAAGCTGATGACCAAATACCACCATTGTGATTTTCACAAAAAAAAAATTATTTATCTATGTTTCGTGGAGAATGCTCTAAGGATTTTTTTAAGATTATCCTGTTATCTTCTTCCTATGGCGTGCCATTGCTGCAGAGTATTGGCCTCACTAACCATGGTTGTCATTTACATTGACATGTCTATGAGCTCCGGTAACTTTAAATGAGCCGAGAGCTTATCCACCAATCCAATCCAGAAAGTGGATTAATTAAATAATGCTGAACTGTCCTTTATAATACGCTTTTATTAGCTTCCGACGTATGTTAGTGTGTAACGGGATCTTTGAACATGATTTTGACCTCCTCCAAAACGTCGGATTAACTCGAAATTTGGTATACTTATTAAGGGACGATAATAATTCAATATTAAAAAAATTTAATTCAACTAAAAATGCAAAATAAATATTAGTTTCATAAAACAAAAAAAATTTTTTTATAGAAAATCCAAAAAAAAATTGAAAATAAATTTTAATCAATTTGAATTAAAAATAGTGTAGGAAAAAATGATTTTATTGTAAAAAAGCGTGGGGTGCTTTTTAGGATATTATCAAAATAACCCTTCTACATAATGATACCATGCATGATTTTCGATAAAAGCGTATTTTGTAAAAAAAAATAAACTATTCTTTATTTTCTTACACTATTTTTAATTCATATTTATAAAAATTTATTTTTACTATACATCGATGTTTATTAGTAGTTGTTCGTTGACGTAAATTGTTTTAAACGACAATTAAACAAACAAATGAAATACAATAGATAAAGAAACTAAGTGATTTTACTTTTAAATTATGTTTTTAAGCAAACGTCATAGTTGTAATGTCAAAAAATAAGGTTATATATTTATCAATGGTTCATAAGTGTGAGTAGTGTGACACAAAAAAAACTGTTCTGTGTCCTTAGTGCGAGTTTTTTAACGTACTCGATAGCGTAAAAGTTAGCTCATTTTTATGGAATGGGATTGTTTGCCTACGTTTGCCGCTAGGGGCGCTGTTCCAACTGCATACAAAATTGGTTAACTTTTACGCTATCGAAAACGTTATAAAACTCGCACTAAGCACACTGCTTGCATGTACTGCAGGCGCTTCAGTAACTGAGTGGACTGTTGCATCTGTACTGATTTATATGAAACTTGTGATCGAAAACATTTTTATAGTTTAAATTTTTTATTGTACAGTGCAAAAGAAAAGACTAATAATAAGAATGTTCATTAGGTAATGTTCCCTGATTGAAGTGCGTTCTCTTATCTTTGTTCAAAGTTTTTGAAATGAAACCTCTTTAGAATCGTTGTGATTTAAAACTTGATGAAACGAAATGAAGTCGTCGTGGCCTAAAGGATAAGACGTCCGGTGCATTCGCGTTGAAGCGATGCAACGGTGTTCGAATCCCGCAGGCGGGTACCAATTTTTCTAATGAAATACGTACTCAACAAATGTTCACGATTGACTTCCACGGTGAAGGAATAACATCGTGTAATAAAAATCAAACCCGCAAAATTATAATTTGCGTAATTNATGAAACGAAATGAAGTCGTCGTGGCCTAAAGGATAAGACGTCCGGTGCATTCGCGTTGAAGCGATGCAACGGTGTTCGAATCCCGCAGGCGGGTACCAATTTTTCTAATGAAATACGTACTCAACAAATGTTCACGATTGACTTCCACGGTGAAGGAATAACATCGTGTAATAAAAATCAAACCCGCAAAATTATAATTTGCGTAATTACTGGTGGTAGGGCCACTTGTGAGTCCGCGCGGATAGGTACCACCGCCCTGCCTATTTCTGCCGTGAAGCAGTAATGCGTTTCGGTTTGAAGGGTGGGGCAGCCGTTGTAACTATACTGAGACTTTAGAACTTGTAACTCAAGGTGGGTGGCGCGTCTACGTTGCAGATGTCTATGGGCTCAAGTAACCACTTAACACCAGGTGGGCTGTGAGCTCCTCCACCCATCTAAGCAATAAAAAAATATGAAACGAAACGAAAAATAGGTGTGCCGCGATTGGCTTGACTTCTATAAGGCTATGCGTCATGATAATCGCCTTATCGTTGCCGCTGCTGACTACTCCCCAAATCCTGATCACGCAGGAGCAAGTCACCGTCGTCGCCCTAGACACGTCCTTACGTATCCACCAGATCCAATAACCCTTGCATTAGATACATTCAGGTCTAACACTAGGAGCAGGCTTAGGGACCCCGAAAACCATACTCGCCGAACTCGGCAAAGAGTTCGACGTGCAACCCAACCTAAACATAAGCCCGCTGAGTTTCTCGCCGGATCTTTTCAGCGAGTCACGATTTCGATCCGGTAGTAAATTCATTAGCGAAGCAGTTACTCTTGAGTTGTTAGGTGTCCCTTTTAAGGCACTTAGCTGTTAGCAAAGCCCACCCTACCTGGCTGAGCCCTTGCTCGCCCGCCTGTCCTTGTGAAACTGGAAAGGCCTCAAGGCCAACAGTAATCGCTCAATTATAAAAAAAATATATATTCCTACGTTACAAATTGTAATTCGTGTTTTTGTAATGTATGTATTAATATTACTGTCATCATTAATAAAAATTGATTTTATTTTCTCCAAAAACTATTGTTTAGGTGACCGAGATTCCAAAAAGGTGATAAACTGGACAAATGAATAGTCTGAAAGACAAAACTTGCGAAATAATGGACGCGGCATTAAAATTTGTACTGCGGCTGTCCCATCCTACAAATCGGAGTCTAGTGGAGTCATTGAGTGTCTTGGTCACTTTCCAGGTCTTACGTCTAGACAGAAGAAGACTTTTGACAATGGAGTCGAACAGGGTCAATTTGATCCGGTGAGTTATGGTACTTGACTCCCAGATTGGTTTCAACTGTGCGAGCGCACCCCTGGCTTTCCTGATTCGTGTATCTATATCCTCGTACGAGTCACCCTGATTGGATATGGAACTCCCCAGAAAACTTACTGGTCATGAAGCAAGAAGTAGTGACTATACAACGGGACATTGAATAGAGCGAAAATATCTTAGAGGACCTTTAATGTCGATGACGCCGACTTTGGATCAGATGCACAAAGCTTGAGGATCTCTGTTTGGCTGCCGAGAAAAGAGGCTTGCGTAATTAATTAATTAATTGTAATTAACACCAACAAAACCGTCGACATTTTTGTCAAAAAACACTACCCCTCTAAAGATCCAAAGCTGTGTGTTGGAGGCAGTACAGAGGTCTAACATGTGTTAACTTTATAAATCTAATTACTTCCTTTTTCCCTACCTATTCGTTGGTAACCTCTTTAGGTTAACTAACGCGTAACTGGAATAGCCCTTTGGCTATTCCAGTTACGCGCGGACGAGTAGGTGAGTAAAACTCAAACCTCATGGTTCTAAATGGCTGGCGGCATTCTCCTTGTTGATGTCTATGGGCTTCCGGAACCATTTAACACCAGGCCGGCCGTATGCTCATTCACCCTTTTACGTCATAAATAAATGGAAACCTGAGTAAGTACAACATTAATGTTAAAAGTAATCGCGTCAAATATGCCCCCGCCAGTATTAATTGTTTCTAGGCAAGAGATTCAGTCGTACTCCAATGTTGGGCTGCGAGGCAATTGCTTTCGGTTCGAAGTTGATCGTCTCCGGCATTCCCTCGGCCAGACGCACCGTGTACCTCTTCAGTATGGGCACCAGGCCGGCCAACATCTGCATCTTCGCAAATCTCTCGCCTGGAAAATTTTGATTCATCAATGTTTTACATACATTAAATGTACACTAAATTCATTGCTTAGTGGATTTTTTAAAAGCGAAATTAGATTTTATATAAATGTAGTTCAGTGCAGGACGGTATATTCAAAAACCAGTCACAGTTTTCGCCACTATGACCATTTTGTAAATATTCAAGGTAACGTAAAATTAATATTATACTGTTATTGCTAGTCACATAATTTTTTTAATTGCTTAAACGGGTGTACTAGCTAACGGTAGATCTGGTGCTAAGTAGTCAGTGGTAATGAAGGCTTTTTTTGATAAGTCTACTCACCAATACAAACCCGAGGTCCAGCTCCAAATGGCAAATACGTAAAGGGCCTGATATTCTTCTTCTCTTCCCCATAGAACCTCTCTGGTTTGAAGAGCTCGGGCTCCGGAAAGTATTCCGGGTCGTGATGCAGATGATATACGGGAATATGAACGCGATCTCCTTTGTCGAGAGTCAGGCCGGTCGGGAATGTGTATCGTTCCCCTGTTTGTCTTGATATTACCCCAAAAAGAGGATACAAACGTAGCGCTTCATCTATACACGCCTCCACAAACGGGAGCTCCTTCACGCAATCATAATCTAGTTTATTGTTGTGCTTCTTAATGTATTCGTCTACTTCTTTCTGCGCTCTTTTCTGAACATCTGGATTCTTTGCCAGCTCGTACAAAGTAAAGGTTAAAGAATTGGATGAAGTTTCAAAACCAGCGATAAAGAATGAAACGCATTGTGCAACTAACAGATCATCATTCACTTCTAGTTCTAATTTACTGTCTGCTCCTTCGTCTCCTGTTTTAATCTTTTGCAAGCGGTCGCCGACGATATGTCTGTTCTTCTTCAAATTTAACAACAGGTCGACGAAATCGGTACGTTCGGAAGGCTTGTAGTCCCGTGCTTCGAAAATTCTTACTAGAAGTTTACTGAAAAACTTATGTATATCCGTTGGAAATACTTTGAAACCTAGTCCATAGAATATTTCCGGCCAGATAGCTTTGACAACGTTTTTTATACCTCGGGAGGTGGTGGTCTCCAAGAAAAGGCATCCCATAGTTGTGAAGATGTTATCCTTGGGTTCCTGCATCGCATTAATGTCTACTCCGAACACACAACCGCCTATGCAGTCCATTGTGAACCGCGACATTAAAGATTTCATTTCAACTTCGGGTGCTAAAGATTCTTCATCCAGCAAATTCTCGAAAACACCAGAACAATGTTCGATAATGCGAAACATGCTTCTCATTTTTNAAATTTACTGTCTGCTCCTTCGTCTCCTGTTTTAATCTTTTGCAAGCGGTCGCCGACGATATGTCTGTTCTTCTTCAAATTTAACAACAGGTCGACGAAATCGGTACGTTCGGAAGGCTTGTAGTCCCGTGCTTCGAAAATTCTTACTAGAAGTTTACTGAAAAACTTATGTATATCCGTTGGAAATACTTTGAAACCTAGTCCATAGAATATTTCCGGCCAGATAGCTTTGACAACGTTTTTTATACCTCGGGAGGTGGTGGTCTCCAAGAAAAGGCATCCCATAGTTGTGAAGATGTTATCCTTGGGTTCCTGCATCGCATTAATGTCTACTCCGAACACACAACCGCCTATGCAGTCCATTGTGAACCGCGACATTAAAGATTTCATTTCAACTTCGGGTGCTAAAGATTCTTCATCCAGCAAATTCTCGAAAACACCAGAACAATGTTCGATAATGCGAAACATGCTTCTCATTTTTGAAGAAGAGAAAAGCGGCGTCACGTTTTGTCGGATGACCTTCCAGCGNAGATGTTATCCTTGGGTTCCTGCATCGCATTAATGTCTACTCCGAACACACAACCGCCTATGCAGTCCATTGTGAACCGCGACATTAAAGATTTCATTTCAACTTCGGGTGCTAAAGATTCTTCATCCAGCAAATTCTCGAAAACACCAGAACAATGTTCGATAATGCGAAACATGCTTCTCATTTTTGAAGAAGAGAAAAGCGGCGTCACGTTTTGTCGGATGACCTTCCAGCGGTCGCCGTACGTGAAAATGATGCCCTGCGTGATGACTTCTTTGTGGGTGTACTCGAAGCACTCTTTGCCGGTGAAGTAAAAAAAATCCTTTGTCAACACGAGTTTGATGAACTCAGGGTCCTTAACGATTAAAGTGGGCTTTGTGCCGAAGAATGCACCAACGTAGGGATCATTTGGAAACAATTTACTCAAATTATACACCACGTCCAATAAGTTTTCCTTTAGAAGTATGTACCCAGAGTAGTTTCCAAGGAAAGGAGTCGGCTGTACGTAATTCACATTCTTCTTTTGCCAATAATCAAATTTCCTTGTAGATATCCTATAGAGAATATAAACACATAAACTCAGAATGAATATTATAGTTAATATCATTTTGTAACGTGCGACTGAATCCTTTCGAAGAATTCGTATCGTATATATACCAGCTATGGCGTGGAGGTGTGCACCGTTGTCACATCAATAGTCGGTGTAGTCACTTTCCAAGTTATACAGGACATTCCTTCGATTTTAGTTGAGCACTGATGATAAGCTGGTGAAGCTAGTAGCACAATTATATTTATTTTAGCAGAGAGCAAATCTACATTCCCGTTTTGTTTTATTTTTGTTATTGCTTGGATGGGTGGACGAGCTCACAGCCCGCTTGATGTTATAGTGGTTACTGGGACCCATAGACATCTACAACATAAATGCGCCACTCACCTTGAGATATAAGTTCTAAGGTCTCAGTATGGTTACAACGGCTGCAAAACCCTTCAAACCGAAACGCATTACTGCTTCACGGCAGAAATAGGCAGGGTGGTGGTACCTACCCGTGCGTACTCACAAGAGATCCTACCACCAGTAAAGAGACGAGGACTGATACCACGAAATATTCAAAACTTTAATTCCTACTAGTGATTAGTAAGTATGCTGTTTGAATATGTTCAAGTAATGTTCTATCATCACACATTCGTTTATAACTCTGAACGCAATGGCGTGTAAGTATTTGCATCGGTCTGGACGGTGCTCCGCTTCCAGGTCGAGCGTGGTTCCACAGAGTCAGTCCTTGGCCCTCTCTTGTGGAACATCGGCTATGATTGAGTCCTGTGGGGCACCCTTCGTGCTCCTCTCCCGGGTCTGAGCGGGTTTGTTCCTGGTTTATTACGCGGACGACAATCTGGTCGTGGCCTGGGAGAAGGATTTGCGCGAGTCAGCCTGTCTTTCCTGTGCAAGCGTGGCCTTCGTCATCGGCAGGATCCGAAGACTGGGTCTAGAGGTGGGACTGGTGGCGACAGAAGTTCGAGCCCGGTAGCTTCAATCTTGGCGTGCCGTTCTCGAGTCGTGGTATCCTCCCGGTGATGACCACGGGGCGACCTGAGGAGGCTGGGGCTGCGCTGCACGCTGCCGTCACTGCACCGCGCTGGCACCAAGAGGATAGGACGATGCGTCGCCAAACATACTATGAAAGAGCAACCCGGTTGGCGGTGTATCGCGTTCCAACGCAGGAGGCTGGTTCTAACCCAGCGGGGTATCCGAGAACACTAACGGCATCGCCCGGGCGGCCTGGTAGAGCCGCCGTAAGGTGGAGACCTCTGTCGTTGGTCGTCGACTATCGTCTCGACGACCCGTCGGTCGAGCGTTCTTGGGGTGACGCCACGAGTCTGGTGTAGTGTTGACCGCGGGAACCCCCATATTCTGACCGGATTAAGGACCCCAGGCGAAGATCGGACGTCGGGTGTAAGAGTGCCGGGGAATCGTTTAGTGCGGTAGGGCCCTAAAACATCCTTGGGCCCGCGGTTCGCAGTCGCAGACCAGTCCCGCATACTGCGCGACCCCTAGGCGCGGAGACCACGTAGGAGGTTCGGCCCCCCGGCCAAAAAACAAAAAAAAACCATCGCTTCCATCCGTTTATTGCCTCGATTGTAGAGTGGTATAGTTATTTTTATGATACAGTTAAAATTTCGACCTGATTTCCCTATATGGTTCTCATTTATATGGACATGTCTATGAGCTTCAGTAATCATAGAGCGCACAGGTTTATCCATTCATCGTCCATCAATCCAGTGCAGAAACATTATAAATAATATTTTTTGATAATTATATTGAAAAAATAATAATATTTGTCCTTATTTTTTTACATACTTAAATGTACATCGTTGTTTATAACTCTTAGTTCATTATCGTAAATTGTTTTAGAATACGAAGCGGCACTAATAAATGAAATATAAATAATGAAACCAAGTGATTGTACTTTTCAATAATGTATTTGTAAGCAAATTCTATAGTTATAATGTCAAACAATAAGGTTATACATACGAGTATATTTTTCAATGGCTCATAATAAGTGTGACAAACAATAAAAACTCTTGTGTTGCTATGCGTCATTGCAGGCGCTTTGATAAATGAGTACAGGTTAACTAACTTCAATGAATCTAATCTATATATTAATACGTGAAGCGAAAACTTTGTATCCCTTTTTACGAAAATTGCGCGGACGGAGGAGTATTAAATTTTACACACTTATAGAGAATATAGAGAAGAAGTGCACAATGCAACAATGTAACTACATATACTTGAGACCTTGGAACTTGTATCTCAAGGTGGGTGGCGCATTTGCGTTGTGGATGTCTATTGGCTCCAGTAACCACTTAACACCAGGTGGGCTGTGAGCTCGTCCACCCATCTAAGCAATAAAAAAAAAGCTAATTTTTTTTTTAAATAATGCATAAAAGATACATTAAATGAATAAAGACAACATTACACACACTACATATCATGTATTTGACGCACACACGCATACTACTATTTATTGTCAAACTTTTGTTCTTGACATCTGTTGTCAAATTGAGAATACATTAAATAGGTATTGATTGTCTTTGTTGATATTTTTTATAGTGTAGTCTTGGCGAAATTTGTGATTATAAAATACAATCATAACAGTGTACAAACTTACAATTCCAATTAATTATAGTCGAATTTCGACTACTGCGGGACCACTAGTGATAGGAAATATTGGTAATGGTTTAACGTTTTAATGTACATTGCAATAGAAAAGATTATCCATTACATAATGTTTCCTGATTTAGATTCGTTTTTCTTATCTTTGTTCAAAGACAAGTTAGGACAACAGCTAATTTCGTTAATATACAAATTATAAATCGTTTTTATGTTACATATGTATTTCAAATATCATTTATAAACTTAGTTTTATATTTTATTTTATACGGAAATGTAGTCTAGAGCATAGAGAATCCAAAAAAAGGTGAGAAACTAGACAAATAAATAGTCTGAAAAACGAAACTTGTAGAATTATGGACGTGGCATTTGTACTACGGTTGTCCGATATTCCGAATCGGAGAGCTTGATCTCTCTGAGCTCCGTCTCGTCGGAGATTGGATGCATGAGAGATAAAGGGACTGTTTAGAGAGCATTTGAGTCGTGGCCTAAAGGATAGGACGTAAGGTGCCTACGCATTGAGCGATGAGACTAAGCTGTGTGCTTGGTGCGAGTTTATTAATGTTCTCGATAGCGTAAAAGTCAATAGTCAATAGTCAAAATTGTTTTGAAGTCGTCGTGGCCTAAAGGATAAGACGTCCGGTGCATTCGTTGTTGCGATGCACCGGTGTTCGAATCCCGCAGGCGGGTACCAATTTTTCTAATGAAATACGTACTTGACAAATGTTCACGATTGACTTCCACGGTGAGGGAATAACATCGTGTAATAAAAATCAAACCCGCTAAATTATAATTTACGTAATCACTGGTGGTAGGACCTCTTGTGAGTCTGCACGGGTAGGTACCACCACCCTGCCTATTTCTGCCGTGAAGCAGTAATACCTTTCGGTTTGAAGGGTGGGGTAGCCGTTGTAACTATACTGAGACCTTAGAACTTATATCTCGAGGTGGGTGGCGCATTTACGTTGTGGATGTCTATGGGCTCCAGTAACCACTTAACAGCAGGTGCGCTGTGAGCTCTTCCAACCATCTAAGCAATAAAAAAAAATTTGTGTGCAATTGGAACAGCGCCCCTAGCGGCAAACGTAGGTAAACGTTCCAGCTCCATACAAATTTGAGTTAACTTTTACGCAATCGAGAAAGTTAAAAAACTCGCACTGAGCACAATGGTGCAGGCAAGTATCCAATTTTAAGGTAATACGCAGCTTTTTTTTAACGTTAGGGAATCCATTAACGGATACCCGGTCACGGAGGTATATAAATACGCACCTAACACGTGTTAACTTATTAATCCTTAATCTTAGGGTGTATTATGTGTCTGGATGAACGCCATCCTGCCAATTTGTACCGTGAGCAAGGCACCCCTCCGTTCTGATGGGGACTTATATTATTATGATATTGAAATGTCGACTTCGAGTTTCAAAGCGGGCGCCTTATCAGCAAGCCACTCAATATCACCCACTTAAAAAGTGAAATAAATAAAGCTCCGTATCCAAGCCAGTCAAAAACACGTAGACCGGGCCATCAAATTTAGTATCTAGTAGTCTATGCGAAAATTCTTTTCTGCAAATCATTTCTCGGAACGAATTTTAGTCGCATGCTAATGGCTGGCTGCGTAACAATGGCTTTGGGTTCGATATCGATCGTCTCCGGCATACCGTCGGCCAGTTGCACTGTGTACTTTTTCAGTATTGTCACCAGACCGGCCAGGATCTGCATCTTCGCGAACCTCATACCTAGAAAAACAAATAAATAATTGAAGTCGTCTTGGCCTAAAAGATAAGACGCCTGTACATTCNTTAGTCGCATGCTAATGGCTGGCTGCGTAACAATGGCTTTGGGTTCGATATCGATCGTCTCCGGCATACCGTCGGCCAGTTGCACTGTGTACTTTTTCAGTATTGTCACCAGACCGGCCAGGATCTGCATCTTCGCGAACCTCATACCTAGAAAAACAAATAAATAATTGAAGTCGTCTTGGCCTAAAAGATAAGACGCCTGTACATTCATGTCGAGCGATGCGATGCCAGTGTTCGAATCCCGCCGGCAGGTAATAAATTTTCTAAAGAAAAACGTATTAAACATAAGCTAACGAATAATATGCACCAATAACGATGTGTAATAAAAATGAAATGCGCAAAAATTTTAATTTGCCTGTTTGCTGGTGGTAGGTGGTCTCGTGAGTCCGCACGGGTACCCTGCCTATTTCTGCCGTGAAGCAGTAATGTGTTTCAGTTTGAAGGGTGGGGCAGCCGTTGTACTATTAAAAGTGGGACCTTAAAAATCACGTCTCAAGTTGGGTGGCCATTTACGTTTTTGACGTCTCTGGACTCCGGTGACCATTTAAAACCAGGCGGGCTGTGAGCTCGTTCACACGTCTAAGCGATATTTATTTATTTATACTTTATGCACAAAACAAAACTTGTACACAGGCGGACTTAATGCCATGGGCATTCTCTTCCAGTCGACCATAGGATGGTGCAGAGATAATGCATGGTAGGTGCATTAACAAAAGTTAAACAAACAACAACAACAAAACAAAAATCTTCCTTAAAATTACATCTCAGTATTATAGAATACACATCTATATATTAATACGTGAAGCAAAAACTTTGTATCCCTTTTTACGAAAATTACGCGGACGGAGGAGTATGAAATTTTCCACACTTATATAGAATATAGAGAAGAAGTGCATAATGCTAATATTTTTTTTAATAATGCATAAAAGAGACAGTAAATCAATAAAGAAAACATTACACACACTACATACCATGTATTTGACACACACACGCATGCATACCATTTGTTTATTGCACTGAAGTATGAAAACTATATTGTCAAACGTTTATTTGCAGTCTGTCAGTAATAGCTTTTTTTTTTAAGGGATTTTATGACCTGGTAACTTAGACCTTTAAGTCATGTCTTATTTTAATTTATTTTCTTATTTATATGAAAAATGATGAAATGAAATGAAGATGATTAATTTGAGACATTAATCAACTGGTATGAAATTAAATGAAATGAGATGAGATGACATGGAATGAAATATAATCTCAATAAAATGGTGGTCATCTACTGAGACTTTTTCATTGGACTTTTTGGAGGATCCCGAGAAGTGACGTCCAGCGACTTTGTTTCATTTTCCCACATTTGTGCACTTTCACAGATATTAAACAGTTAATAAACCACCGTTATTACACATTTAAACCTGAAGAAACACTAAATAGACAAAATAAAACAAATCACACAACTTCACTCCTTGCGTTCCCGCCAAAAACTCCTCAGTAATAGCCTGTCAAATTGAGAATAGATTAAATATTGTTTTCTCTTTACTAATATTTGTCTAAAGGGTAGTTTTGACGAAATCTGTAATCAAAGAAGTATTTAATAGTCTTTGACAATAGAATCATAATAGTGTACAAAATTATAATTTTCATTAGTTATAGTCGAATTACGACTACCTACTAGGGGACCACTAGTAATGTTAAATATAGGTACTTAATATAGATAATAAAAAAAATTCATTACATTAGAATACTACTTGAGTTTTCTATACAATCCTTTGAGCAGACGGGCTTACGGTTAAAGGACCCGTTACAACAAAGTAAATACAACACTTTTTATACATAAAATATCGACAGCCATGCGAATCGACGCATAACATAAAAACTACAATAATGAGAATGAAATACGAATAGACAAACAATATTTACATTTCAAAGTCAATGTTNTCATTACATTAGAATACTACTTGAGTTTTCTATACAATCCTTTGAGCAGACGGGCTTACGGTTAAAGGACCCGTTACAACAAAGTAAATACAACACTTTTTATACATAAAATATCGACAGCCATGCGAATCGACGCATAACATAAAAACTACAATAATGAGAATGAAATACGAATAGACAAACAATATTTACATTTCAAAGTCAATGTTTTTGACATTATTTTCTTAATTAGAGGTCCCGCAGTAGTCGAAATTCAACTATAATTAGTTGGAATTGTAAGTTTGTACACTATTATGATTGCATTTTATACTTCTATAATCACAAGTTTCGCCAAACTACACTAAAAAAAAAATTAACAAAGACAAACAATATTTAATCTATTCTCAATTTGACAACAGACGTCAAGAACAAAAGTTTGACAATAAATAGTATGCATGCGTGTGTGCGTCAAATACATGGTATGCAGTGTGTGTAATGCTTTCTTTAATGATTTAATGTATCTTTTATGCATTATTTAAAAAAAAAATTAGCATTGTGCACTTCTTCTCTATATTCTCTATAAGTGTGAAAAATTTCATACTCCTCCGTCCACGCAATTTTCGTAAAAAGGGATACAAAGTTTTTGCTTCACGTATTAATATATAGATATATAATATATTTTGGCTTTCAGTTCAAAAATTCATATGGTTGTGAGTCAAACAACAATACCCCAGCGTGAACTATTAATGTTATAACAATTCTATAAATATATTTTTTGCGTTTAATGATGAGTTTAATGCTGATGATAACCAAGCGAACCCGGACGAGAACGAAAAACAAAATGAGATTGCTCAAATCGATCGAAACACATTTGAGACTCAACTTAGAGAGAGACAGAGTCTATTTTCCTGTACACTAAAAAACTGAAAAGCAGTAAACATATATAAAGAGGCAGCAAGTATAATTGTATAATAGCTAAACATTTTTGATCACTTTAAAAACTAATTGTAATCTATAAGCTGTACTGTTGTTACTGGTGGTAGGACCTCTTGAGAGTCCGCGCGGGCAGGTACCACCACCCTGCCTATTTCTGCCGTGAAGCAGTAATGCGTTTCGGTTTTGTGGGGCAGCCGTTGTAACTATACTGAGACCTTAGAACTTATATCTCAAGGTGGGTGGCGCATTTACGTTGTAGATGTCTATGGGCTCCAGTAACCACTTAACACCAAGTGGGCGGTCAGCTCGTCCACCCATCTAAGCAATAGAAAAAAAATTTGCTAATACAGAATACACACGCCAACTGGTATCTCAAATATTAAACATCTTTTAATTTAACCAAAACAGTCCTCAAGTCCAAAAGAAAATCAAAATTCAAGAGCGGCATATCTATTGCCGCTACACATATTAAAGGTATAAAAAGGTCATGAGGGCATAAGATCTGCAATACCGAGGTCACGGGACTTTTGCTGTGTGGAGCACATAATCCAACACAAAAATCTTTCATAGCTTTTTTCCNTCTCAAATATTAAACATCTTTTAATTTAACCAAAACAGTCCTCAAGTCCAAAAGAAAATCAAAATTCAAGAGCGGCATATCTATTGCCGCTACACATATTAAAGGTATAAAAAGGTCATGAGGGCATAAGATCTGCAATACCGAGGTCACGGGACTTTTGCTGTGTGGAGCACATAATCCAACACAAAAATCTTTCATAGCTTTTTTCCCTGTTAGTTTAGGGGGCTTTTCCAATTACGCTCGGACGGATAGATGAGCTGACAGGCTAATCCTGAACGAATTTTCTAATACTAGCCCTAGCAAGACCAATGCCTTTTTTTTATTGCTTAGATGTATGGACCAACTCACAACCCACCTGGTCTTAAGTGGTTACTGGAGCCCATAGACATCTACAACGTAAAACGCGCCACCCACCTTGAGATATAAGTTTTAAGGTCTCAAGTACAGTTACAACGGCTGCCCCACCCTTCAAACCGAAACGCCTTACTGCTTCACGGCGAAAATAGGCAGGGTCGTGGTACCTACCCGCGCGGACTCTCAAGATGTTCTACCACCAGCATCTCTTCTTTTGTTGTATTTTTTCCCGGTTTATTTATTCATTGTTGTATTTTTCGTGTGCGTCCATTATACAGTAAGCTTTTGCTGTTAAAGTACTTTCAATTTGGAAACGGTTATTGTTTAGGTCCGAAATAGTCCTGAGGATTTTATTTATAATAAATTATTGACAGCGTTTAGTTATAGTTACAAGAATATTAAGTGAGGACAATGAACTTCGAAAATCCCTCAAACTCAACTTGGTAATAAAGAAACGAATATAGGTGGTAAGCATGCTCGTGAAAAGCCAATTCAGGTAAATGACAAAACTACTCACCAATACAAATGCGTGGTCCGTCCCCAAATGGCAAATACGTAAAGGGTCTGATATTCTTCTTTTCTTCCCCATAAAACCTCTCCGGCTTGAAGAGCTCTGGCTCCGGAAAGTATTCCGGGTCGCGTTGCAGATGATACACGGGAATATGGACGCGATCTCCTTTATCGAGAGTCAGGCCGGTCGGGAATGTGTATTGTTCCATTACTTCTCTTGTCAATACTCCAAGAACAGGATACAAACGTAGCGCTTCATCTATACAAGCCTCCACAAACGGGAGCTCCTTCACGCAATCATAATCTAGTTTATTGTTGTGCTTCTTAATGTATTCGTCTACTTCTTTCTGTGCTCTTTTCTGAACATCTGGATTCTTTGCCAGCTCGTACAAAGTAAAGTTTGAAATAGTGGATGAAGTTTCAAAACCTGCGCTAAAGAAGGCTAGGCATTGCCCCACTAAAAGCTCATCATCCACTTCCAGTTCAAATTTACTATCTGCTCCTTCGTCTCCTGTTTTAGTCTTTTGCAAACGGTCGCCGACGATATGTCTGTTCTTCTTCAAATTTAACAACAGATCAACGAAATCGTTCCGCGAGGAAGGCTTGTAGTCCCGTGCTTCGAAAATCCCTACTAGAAGTTTACTAAAAAACTCATTTAAATCCGTTGGAAATACTTTGAGACCTAGTCCATAGAATATCCCTGGCCAAATGGCTCTGAGAACGTTCTTTATCCCTCGGTAGGTGGTGCTCTCGAAGAAAAGGAATCCCATAGTTGTGAATATGTTATCCTTGGGTTCCTGCATCGCATTAGCGTCTACTCCGAACGCACAACCGCCTATGCAGTCCATTGTGAACCGCGACATCACAGACCTCATTTCAACTTCGGGTGCTAAAGATTCTTCATCCAGCAAATTCTCGAAAATACCAGAACATTTCTCGATAATATGAAACATGTTTCTCATTTTTAAAGAAGAGAAAAGCGGCGTCAGGTTTTGCCGGATGACCTTCCACCGATCACCGTACGTGAAAAATATGTTCTGTGTTACAACTTCATTGTGGGTGTATTTGGAGCCTTCTCTGCCGTTGAAATGGTAGAAATCTTTAGTTAATACCAGTTTAATGAATTCCGGGTCTTTAACTATTAAAGTCGGCTCTGTGCCAAAGAACGCACCAATGTAGGGGTCATTTGGAAATAATTTGCACAAATTATGCACCACTTTGGATATACTTTCCTTTAGTAGGATATACCCTGAATAATTTCCTAGGATAGGAACCGGCGGTACAAAACTCACATTCTTCTTTCGCCAATAATCAAATCTTCTGTTGCACACTCTATATATAAAATAAACGCACACACTTAGAATGAACAGTAAAGTTAAGAACAACATTTTGTGCCGACTGAATCTTATCAAAAAACTTGTATCGTATTTATACATGCTCCTCGCGCAAATCTGTGCGCTTTTGTTATTAAATTGGTGCATACACTTTTCAAATTTGTGAGACTTTCCTAGACTACTCACTACGGGAAGGACACGTTGAGTTCTCATATTTTTATACGTAATACATTTATAGAGAGATTGCTTTGCTTATTGAGATTTATAGAGAGATTGCTACTGATGGTAAGACCTCTTGTGAGTCCGCACGGACCCTGCCTATTTCTGCCGTGAAGCAGTAATGCGTTTCGGTTTGAAGGGTGAGGCAGCCGTTGTAACTATACTGAGACCTTAGAACTTATATCTCAACGTGGGTGGCGCATTTACGTTGTAGGTGTCTATGGGGTCCAATAACCACTTAACGCCAGGTGGGCTGTGAGCTCGTCCACCCAACAATGCAATAAAAAAAAATTTTAAGGTTGGGCAGTCGCAATACATACGGCGCATCTATTATTTAGGAATGTTTGTTTATCAATTACTCATTTGTCTAGTTTGTTAACGTTTTTTTTTTTATAGATTTTAATGTTCTAGACTGCATTTTTAGTTAAAAGAAAAAAATTATTACAAAAAATGGTTACATTAATTTTAATATCTATATTGTGTGTGTTAATAATACCCGATATATTACAAACACGAATTACGATATGAGTTTTTTTAATATTATCAGTTTTTTTTTTACTTTAAATTGTATAAAGAGAAGACGCATTGTCATTTAATTACATTACATTAAGCACTAGTTTATGGTCTACCTAATGTTAAATGATTACCGAATCCCATAGTTATTACAATGTCAATGTCCTCCCTCCCCCTACCTCCTCGGTTGGTACATACGCATCCTAATAAAAATTACGCTTTGGGATGCTTAACGACTGAGGGAAGATCTTCCACCGAGCGGGTGATATTTACTCGGTAGACCGACGGTCCGAATGTTGTTTTTTTTTTTCCTACCTAATCTGATAGCCTTTAGAGGCTATTTCAGCGTAACCGTGGCTAGTATGTGAGCTCACGGGCCAAATCAACGCAATAAATACCTACAAATTCCAACAACAACAATTACAACAGAATATTACTCTTCAGTTCCGCATAAGCTATATTGTTAGTTCACTAAACAAAGCACGCTTTTAATACTTTAAGCGTGCGGTCTTATTTATTCAACGTCTTATAATTATTTCGTTAAAATATTCTCTCTATTGTTAAACTTATCAAACATGTCATTGATACGTGACTCTGACTACGTGTCCGCGAAGGCTTCTAAAGTAATTTAAATACATATGTACCTAATAAACGAAGATGTTTCATTGTTACATTGAATTTCTAACTCATTTGTTCTCCCTTAACAAACTAATAAATCATATGTGGCTTAAAGTAAATGTATAGGTAGATTTTTAAATTTTTTTTCTACCTAAGCTGATAGATAGCCTGAGAGGCTATGCCAGCGTAACCGGGCGAGTAGGTGAGCTCACGGGGCTCAAACCTGATGACGATGCTAACACGAACCCTAGCAAGAGCCGTGCTTCGCAGAATCTACCACCGGATCGGAAACGCGACCCACTGAGAAGATCCGGCGAGAAACTCAGTGGGCTGTATCTGAGAGTTAATTTACTCGTCGAGCCCTTCGTCGCAAGCGACGGGTTCGACGAGAACGGTGACCGGTGCTTGAAGTACCTAAAAGCACCGTTAATGGATCGGGAGGATCCGAGATGACGTGTTTTGGGCGACGTCGACTGCTTTCCATTCTGTCCGCAGGATCGGGAATGTAGTTACCGGCGGCCACGATGAGAGGGTNGTGGGCTGTGTCTGAGAGTTAATTTACTCGTCGAGCCCTTCGTCGCAAGCGACGGGTTCGACGAGAACGGTGACCGGTGCTTGAAGTACCTAAAAGCACCGTTAATGGATCGGGAGGATCCGAGATGACGTGTTTTGGGCGACGTCGACTGCTTTCCATTCTGTCCGCAGGATCGGGAATGTAGTTACCGGCGGCCACGATGAGAGGGTTCTCGTGTCGTGCCGCTTTATCGAAGTGCCGAATGTTGTTGTTCGGAACTTGTATATATGCGCTTTATCTTGAAAATGTCGTAAGCGAGATTCAGGCATCTGTCAATTATCTTGCGTTGTATGATGGCTATCCGCCACAACGCAAATCATTATTATTTTGCGGCTTTGATTTTATTACACGATGTTATTTCTTCATTATATAGAAGAAATATAAGTCGTTTATAAGAAAGCCCGCTCGTTCAAATTTAGGTTCATACTCTCCCTTAAACAGAATCCTTTGGGACTACAATAATGTCCACGGTAGCGCGGTCTCCGTCAATGTTCCTTCGGAGTTGTCCGATTGCGCTGAACTTATTTTAAGTGAAATAGATGTTTTTTTCTAATTGTCTCACTACTTACAGGAAAAATCTGTCGCGGATCATCTCCCAATTAAATTAATCTTAAGCAAGCAATGAATGAAATGTAATCAAATCTTAGCTGTTTATTTTTTTTCTTTTTTTGATGTTAATGCACTGTCGATTGCACCTATAATTGAGGTGACATCTGCCATGAACTTTTGTCAATTTGTCAATGTTTTGTATTGATGATCACTTTGTTGGTGCAACTTAATAAATAAATAAATTATGGAGGGCATTCGTGAACATGTTTTAAGAACGTATTTATTTAAGAATTGTACATATGATACGATACACAACATTTTGTCTTAACTCCCGCCAAAATGACCTTGGATTTAGTAGTTTGCTAAAAAAAAACTACCAAAAACCTGACTTATTTAAATAAATCTATATTATATGTCAAAGATGCACATATCATGTTTTTATTTATTGATATTGTTATTATTTGATAATGGAGTTTTTTTTTTCTTTTGCGTCGCTTTTAAATCTTGCCTCTATTTCGACAGAGTATAATGTGATTGTGATTTACGTGTCGTAGTCCTGTAAATCCTGTAATTACGTGATTCGTCATTACGGCTCATGCAGGAGCCAGTCATCGACCTTCTAGATCTCAATGTATTTTTGAAAGCTTATAGCGGCATCCAAAGCACAGGTCACCATACCCGTCGAAGGGTACAATGTAACACCTAGCCCTAGTATCAACCCACTGAGTTTCTCGCCACATATTCTCGGTGGGTCGCGATTCCGATCCGGTGGTAGAAGTAATCGCGTAGCAGATGCTATTGAGCTGTTAGGTCTTCTTTGGAGGCGCTCGGTCAGCTAATAACAAATCCACACCTAGCTAAGGCCATGCTCACCCTCCTATAGTGGTGACGCTAAAAAGCCTCTATGCCGCCACCCAAAAAGGGTCTATTATGAAATTTGAGGTATAATATGGTTAAGTTAATGGATAGTTGAATCGGCAGTCGGTAGGGCACATTGCTCGTGGAACAGATCGCCACTGGTACCGAAAAGCTCTCGAGTAGTGACCGCGTTCCGAAGGATGTGGCGTGGACAAGCCTCCTACAAGGTGGACCACCGATCTGTTGAAGGTAGTTGGTATATGCAGGCAGCACAGGACCGGTCGTTGTAGCCATGCCTGGGGAGGTCTATGTCCATCAGTGGGCGTCTGTGGACTGAATGACAGATAGATAAACTCAAGGCCCGCCTGATTTTAAATGGATACCGGAGAGCATAGACATCACAATATGAATGTGACATGAGGTCAAACTTTCGATTTTGTTATATTAAAAGCTATTGGATACATCCAATAGTGGCCCATGAATGCTCCGCGGCAGAAACAGGCTGGGTAGTGGCTGCTACCCGTGTTGGCTTAATATACCCTCCACGTGAATATTATCCAGCTATTGATCCAACAGTTAAAGACGACACGTGACACAGATTACCTTTAATCTCATAAATTAAATGTAATTATCCACTTATTTACAGTGAGGAGTTGAAAATGTAAACGCATCGCGTGGAATCCATGATAATATGCTATTCTATCGGAAATGACGAAGCAGATATATTCATTAGGGTACACGAAAAGAAAAACACTTCGGAACATAGTTCAGCTCATTGTTGATGTGGTTGTGGTTGTTTGGCCTTCAAGGTCCGGGTGGTTTTTGTCTGCTTAAGTCTCCTATCATCATGTGTCTGATGGTGTTACAGGTGTCTGACATTTACAATATTGTATCGAATCGTGGGTTCTTTGAAAGAGAAACGTTTATTCGAAAAAAATTATATTCAGTACCAGTGTGGGTCGAGGATAGCTGACCTTCCATCACCCGGATGCTCTTACGTAAAACGCGTGCATAACGTGCACGCACGCACTTTTCCCCCTCGCCGTTCCCCAGACTGACATGTGAGGGGGACCCGAAACACTTAGAGGGCCAGGGCTTGGGCGAGGTCCGCCTCCCTTGGCCCCCGCTCAACGGCGACGGGCTTGTGCGACGCCACAACACTCGGCAACGACAAGTCGTTTCCTATTTTTGCGACGAGGACACGGCGCCACCCCTCCCATGGGGGGCAGGCGACGAGCGTATGCTCTGCCGTGTCCAAGTCGCAACCACAATGGTGGCACTCTGCCGTCGGCTCGGCTGTGATCCGGTGCAGGAACTCACCAAAGTCAACCATTCCCAGTGAGCACCTGCGTGAGCTGGAATGTGAGGCGTCTTCTCTCACGATTCACCTAATCCACAAGAACTGGGCGAATCGCCTCGACGGTCCTACGACTAGCCGAAGGATCGGCCAGCAGCCTGGACCGTGACTCCAGCACGGACTTAATTATACTAGTATAAAATCTACAAAGTTGAGCTTGCGATACAAAATATATTTTTGGAATGATATTTTTACTTTAAGGCTAGCTTTTTGTTTTTAGTCTCTGAATTCGTGTCGTTGCAAAGTTTTCTATAGATTTTTATTATTCCGAAACTTCTGATGTCAACACTTCTAATTTTGATAAATCATTTGAAATTATTACTAAACTATGGTGGCGGTAAAAAAAGAACATGCCAATCATTGTATTTAAAATAAGTATTATTGAGTCTCATAAT